ATGGATTTTATTTATGGTTTATGTTCCCTTTCACTTTAGACACAATGCATTGAAAAGGAAAACGTTTTCTGGCTGTTTAATTTATTTTATTGTTTGAGCAGGAAGTAAGCGTAGTTTTTTCTGACAAGATTTTACTTTTTGTAGTTTTTTTCAAGCAATAGACTGTAAAAGTAAAATGTTAATCACACTGAAACTAGAAAATTAATTCCCAGTCTCACAAACCCAGGAGGTCACTGTTTCTACCCCCTCTGTCATTGTGTTCAGGTTTTTTTTTTGTTTGTTTGTTTTGTTAGTAATTTGCAATTTAGTTGAACCCTTTTGTGTATTTTTTACAGAATTCCACGTGCCTTTCTTCCTAGTGGCCTTATCTTTGTTACTAAAGCACAGTGGCAGGAGGAATGAAAACACTGATTTGCAAATATCCGTCCTCAGGGCCAAATCCTGATGCCTTACTTCTGCAAGTAGACCCTCTGACTTGGGTGCCCCTGCTTGCACGAGTAAGAAGAGGTTTTGAGAGTCTTCTGGACCTGCTGGGTGACATTTCCTGGCAGTGCAGAGAGCCAAGCATGGCTCCTTCTGCCCCACGTCAGCAGGACAGGAGGGGTCTGCAGAGGAACCACGGGGTTGTGCCGAGGGGAAGCTCTTGGCTCCGTGGGATGAGCAGGAGAGGTTGGATGGGCAGGCCAAGGAAGGGAACCCCAGGTTTGCACATTGGCCAAACAGCCCGTGTGGGAGGGCTTCAGCTGCAAGGCCCCCACCCAGCTGAGTGTGTATTTATAAATATCCTCCCAGGAGAAGCAGCCTGTGGTGGGAACTGCAGCGGCCATGGTCCCTGCCTGGCTGGGGATGGGTGTCCACACCTTTCTCCCTGGCCAGGAGCAGGTGGAGCAGATCTTAACCTTTCCTCCAGAGGAGTTTTTGTAGCATGGAAAAGCACATCCTTATAGCTTTAAAATAATAACAAGAATTCAGATGTACAAAAGTGACGCGCTGTTAATGCTGGTGGGTTTGGTTTTGTTATATTTTATCCTAATGTGAATATATACAGTAACTAAAGCATGTGTTCATCCTCATCAGGGGCCTTTAGAAGGCATTGGGAAATGTTTTCATGAGCTTCTGTGGGCTCTGAAGCAGGCTCAGGACAGAACAAGATCACTTGTAGAGGACAAAAGAAAAATGGAAAGGAAAGATAATTAAAGTGGCCTGTCCCAGTGTGTTTGTCTTGGTTATAACTGGTTCCCTGGAAAGCTTTTGGGGAATGAAGGTTTTTTTGTGCGCCGTGAGCATGGCATCGGCATTCTCGTTGTGGTTTTGCACTATATTGCGTATTTTGCAAGGTTTTCTGTGGAACCTTGAGGCTGAGCTCTGTCAGTGAGTGCTGGAGTCCATGCTGTGAGCCAGGGCTGCAGGGAAAAGGGCAGGAGAAGGGAAGAAGGAGCGTGCAAGGGGAGCACTCGCAGCTGCACGGAGCCGCTGACGCTCTGCAGGCAGGGGCAGCCCATCAGCAGCTGGCTGTCCCCACGTGCTCCCAGGCAAACAGGGTGTTTGAGGCAAGTGCTCTAAAGCAGAGATTATCACAAGCAGGACATGGAGCTGTATGTTCCCCTGGCACAACTTTCCCTGACGTTCCCGGGAGCTCCGCGTGAGCAGGGAATCGGATAGTCCAGAGTTCTCCTAACCACTCTGCTTGTTTATCTGTTTGCTGGGCCCCAGCATGAGCAATCTGTTTCCCACCTCTTCTTCACCCATGTAACTAAGATGGTGATGACAGTAGCTGTATATGCTTTGCATGAAATCACTCAGCCATTTGGAAAATTAGAAATACCCCGTATCGCTGTCATTTTAATGGAGAATGTGTACTTGGCTCTGAAGGAGTTGGTGGTGGATTAACATTTGGTCTGTGAAGCTCAGACTATATTTGGAGGCAAGCTAGGGAATATTTCAGAGCAGTTGTTGGTGTGATCATCTCTCATAATTGAAGAGACTGTGGTGTTACAACAGTACCTGTTACTTTATTTTTAATTTTTCCTTCTTTGCATTTGTTGTGTTACTGAGGCTCTGAATTCCTTGGCTTTGCAGCACAGTTGATGTGGAAAACTGTGTATGTTGTTACAGTGGCACGTTTCTTGGAGTGTCTGGTACTTCTGAGAGGAGAGTTCCCACTCCTCAGTGGGAGTGGAGGATGTACATAAAAGCAGTGTTTTGGGACAAAGTGAGATTGATCTATTCTAGTCTTCCAGATATCGAGTAACTTCCTATTATCTTTTACTCTTTCTTTCTTTCTCCCATTGAAAATAAGTGTCATTCCCTCCAGATAACGTAGTTATAACCTCATGTTTTCTGCAGGTACATATGCACAATATAAAGACTCATTGCACGGTACAGTGTGTTTAAAATAGAAATTTAAATAAGTAGTTTTATTCCTTACAAGGGTAAGTTTTTATTTTGTGGCCCTCAGGCAGGCAGGCTCACTGCTCTCAATAGACAGTACTCAAAGCCCCAAAAAGTGTCCAGGGCCAGATCTTTGGCTGCTGTAAATAAGGCATTGCTCCACTGATTCCCAAACCAAGGATTTTTACGTGGTGTTTAGGGGATTTGGATGCTGGTCTCCCACACATGGGGAGGCAGTGAGTGTCCAAGCCCCACAGACAGCCCTTATTATCACATTCTGTTGTTTAAATGGAAGGTATGTCTACCTGGCATACACGTTCCTTCTCTTCCCTCCCTCTCTGTTGTGGATGAGAGTAAAGGATCATTTCAACTTCACATATGTTTGTAACTTCTAAGTCCACTGGAAATCTTACAGAAAACATTGCCAAATTCTACTGCTTTACTAGTCCCAGACTCAGCTTTGAAAAATATGCCTAAGGAAATTCTTAAAAAGCATGATGTTAAAAACCCCTCTCTTCTTTACTACTTTGGATTAAAGCTGCCTCTGTTTCACCCAGAGTTTTGCAGAAAACATGATGAATTGAATGCTCTGTGTGGACTATTTGCAGCATTATCCCTGTGGTCTTACCTGCAAGGGCATTTCAGCAATGTAAATCACAGACATCCATTGGCCAGGTCCTCAGCTGGGCTAAACTAGCACATTTCCATTGACTTTAATGTCCTTTTTTGCCAGCTGGGAATATGGTCCATTCATTTCACTGGTGTTAGGTCAGGGATGGATTTGGCCCAGTACACAGTGGCAGCACAAACCAGAGCACAAGGCTGGCACTTGGGTAGAACCAAACAGTCACAGTCTATCAAAGCATATACCTCTTCCCATGTACTGCTTTCCCCTACGTGTGGATTCAGGAAGACTCTTTCAGAAAGTGGCTTCACCCAGAGGTGAGGCTGGAACTGTCATTACTGCTCTCAGTCTGAGACTGATGACAATAATGGGCAGGTTCTGACTTCAAATCATGTAAAATCACCTCAGTCATGATTTTCAGTTCAATAAATCAGGGTGGAATTTGGCCCTGTGTGCACAGGAGCTTTTCATGTGCACAGATGTCCAGTGTCTGTGCACTTTCCTTAGCAAGGGCAGATGAACAAGAGGGTGCATCCCTCCAGTATCATGTGAGGTATCTGTGCAGGGCTCTGGGACATGAACTCCCCAGTGCTTGTGGTCGAGAAGAATGTCAAATCATGGAAAAGAATAGTAATTTTATAATTCTGAAAACAAAAATAATGGTATTTTTAAAAGCAAGGATGCCTGAAGTCTTCCTGTATCTCCTAGCTGTTATTATCTTGAAGGATATTTTATACCTTAGTTGTATGTTTCATATAATTTAAAACTTGCTTCTTAAATTTCTGAACTCAAGGAGGGGGTGAATCTTCTGGCTTTCAGGATTCACATTCAGAGGATGTTTGTTCTTTTGCTGCATGTACTGTTTGTCCAGAACTAACCAGTTATTTCTCCAATATGGGTTTTATTGTGCCTTACAACAAATATTAAATTTAAGCGGAATGTACGCGTTAGAGGAGGGAATAATCAAGAAGACTTTACTGCACTGTTAGGTGATGCTGCCCCAGAGTGTATCATCAAACATATCTGTGCTTAATTACCCAACCAAAGAGATCTAAAGTATGTATGTTTGTTGTACTGTAATAGGGGTTTGTGCCTGGACAATTAAGTGTTTTATTTGTATTCTGAGATGATGTGAACTTATTTTTCTAAACACTATACTGAATAAACTTTATATTTATACACATCTTGTGTAAATATTTCTGTTTGGTTGTCATGTGAGAGCTTTGAATTTTCAGTTGGAAAAGCAATCTGAAGTAGAAACTTGGCTTCTAATGACTCATCATGAAAGGTGATGGCAACCAGGAGTGCCTGTGCTTGCCAGGGATTTGATCTGCACCCTATTTAAGCAAGAATGAGACTTTGTTGACTTGAGGGGGTTTTGTTGGAATTCTAAAATACTAAATTAAAAAACATAAATCTTATACCTCATATTGAACCTATTTGTGTCTCGAACTGAATTTATACTGTAATTAGTTAAATACTATTAAAATCTACTTCCACCTGCTAGTTAGGGCTAGTCAGTATTTACTTGTGGTTCCCATGACATTGCCATGTGTTCTGTGTCAGGGGCTTTTTTTGGGTAGGTGTACTCCTATTTGCTAAATTCCTGTTTGTTGAAATTTTTCTTCAAAATGTTTCACATAGTCTCAGACTTGCTTTTGGCAGCCTTTTGAGAACAGCTTGAAATGTTATGTTCCTCTGATATTAAAGGATTTAAACACATTACCATATTACTTCAGATCTGTGTTCCAAGTACCAGCATTGCCTGGTTACGACTTTGATGCCAAAATGAATGACAGTAAATCCAAACAGCCTAATCTGTGCAGGTGAAATAGTTTCCCTCACTGAAGCTGTATACATTAGACATAATTAGTAGCCTGCACATGCCAGCAGGAAAACACCCTTCCATCCCTTTAAACTGTGTTTAGGCCAGAGGAAGCACAGTGAGGTCAGGGAAATTTTTTGTTTGTTTGTTTGTTTTTAATAGATATGGTTAAAAACCATGAAATTCATTATTTTCTTCCTCACTAAGACATTACCTTGGTGTTTGTCACCATTCCTCCACCTTTCCCATGGATCGCAGCCGCGTCCCGCTCTCTCCTCACAGGGAGTCCCCCTCCCAGGGAGAGAGCATCTCCCTCTTTTCTCGAGGCTGATCCAACTCTGCAGCTGCTGAAGTAAATAATCCAGTTACCCGGGAGCAGCCCTAAGCCAGAGCCAATTGCCTCGTTGCCCAATTCCTGTTTCCTTCCCAGAAGCGGGCGCTTGGCTCCGTCGTGCTCGCGGCGCTCCCTTTGCCTGAGCAGAGCTGGGATGGGATTTTCCTGCCTGCACAGACCAAACCCCAAACTGATCCCCGGGCAGCAGCTCTGTCCCAGCTTCGGTTGCAGCAGGAGCTGAGGATTTAAAGCCATCCTTCCACCTGGCTGGGAGCAGCTTCTCTCAATTGAGGAAGAATGTTCAGATGCTTGATTGTGTTCAGAGGAGGGCAACAAGGCTGGTGAGGGGCTGGGAACACAAACCATGTGAGGAACGTTTGAAGGAGCTGGGGTTGTTTGGCCTGGAGAAGAGGAGGCTCAGAGGTGACCTTACTGCTCTCTATACCTTCCTGAGGGGAGGCTGTGGACAGGGGAGGTCGGTCTCTTCCACCAGGAGCACTGACAGAACCAGAGGACACAGTCTCAGCTACATCAGGGAAGGTATAGGTTGGCTATTAAGACAAAAAATTTCACCAAAATAAAGCACTGGAATGCTCTTCCCAGGGAGGTGGTAAAATCACCATCTCTGGATGTGTTTAAAAAGACTGGACATGGCACTTGGTGCTATAGTCTAGCTGAGGTGTTAGGGCAGAGGTAAGATGATCTTAAAGGTCTCTTCCAACTTTGTGATTCTGTTTCTGCCTCACCATGCGGGCAGGGAAGGAGCTCCCGGACCCCCACTGCCAGGCTGGCTGCATCCCATGCCCCGGGAAGGGATTTGTGGCTGTGCAGCCCCCACAGGGGCTCTGGATGAAGCGCAGGGGTTTGGGAGCAAGCGAGAAGAGGAAGGTCTCGGCAGCGTATGCAAATGTCCAAATTCTCGCCGAGCAGCCACCCATGCGGTATGCAGGATGAATCATGTCCTAACGGAGCGCATTCCTGCTGCTCTGGAGCGCTTTGCAGATGTGCTCCAGGTCACCCTGGGCGAGAAAACCACACACAGCCACGGTTCCTTCTTCCCTGGCAGCCTGTGCACAGATGGAGAAAGGGGGGACAGCACCTTTGGGAGGGTGGGCAGCTGCATCCCTGAGCCCCTGCCTTTCCCACAGGGCCTGGGGATGCTGCAGGGAGGAGGGGGGGCTGCCAGGGCAGTAGCTGGGATGGAGCTGATGGTAGGAAGGCTCGGGGAGATGGGTGGTTTCTCTTGATCTAGCAGGGAGACAAGCTGGGAAGGGAGACAATGCTGGAAGACAGCACTTATTATGCTCTATATTTGTCTTGATATTTCCCTGTTGCCAGATCAGAAGGGGATTTTGCTGCTCCAAGAGGCAGAGGTTGGGTCAGGAAAACAGGATTTTAATATGAATACTCACAGCTTGGAAAGCAGAGGTCTCCTTCCAGGCTGCATCCCCTATTGTGGTGATCTCTGGCTGCAGAAATCTCTGGGCTGGAATCTTAGGCCAGTATATGGATACAGATCATATTTTTAATATAAAAATACATTTTAGAAGGAAAATTATTCCCAGAAATAGGAATTCATCTGCCAAGCAACGTGCACATAACCAATTTCACACTTAGAGGTGCCAGAAAGTTCAGGAATGAGACCAACAATAAAAAACCAACACACGTGTGAAAAATCTACAGCATTAAAGCCAGATTCAATAAAAATAGCACCTAGTTTATGTGCTACAGAAGCTGGCACATGCCTGCAAAGGCTGAAGGAAAGAGATAAAATGTTCAGAAGTTGCATGCAGTCCAGAGCAACGGAGCAGCCCTGGAGCAGTGTTGATGGTTACTCAATAACTCATATACAATGCTCTCCCGTGTAAGTGCTTTAATTCTCCATCCTGCTACTTCTCGGGCAGAAAGACCCAATTTGGAACACTGGAGGCCGATCAATAAGCTTTGCTGTGGCAGCCAGAGTGCTTTGTGATGGAGCTGGCCTTACGAAGGGACTCCCAGAATGTTACACAGCATCATTTTCCTTGCTGCTCGCACGCTGCAGGCAGCGAGCTCGGTGCTCAGGGTACCCCCAGCACCTCCTGAGCTGTGAGCACAGCCCCTCTCCTGAGGCACAGAGATGAAAGCAGGCTGGCAGAGGGGAGGGCAGGGAGGTGAGGGGTGGCACAGGCAGGTTGCAAAGCCAGGTCTCTGACTCCCCCTGTTGCTTTGCCCACCGCCACCTCCTCTGGAGCCCAATCCCACTTGGATGCAACCTGCCATGGCAGCAGCAGGAGCACTTGATGCTGGCACCAAAGCTGAGCTTGCTCTTTTCATTTATTTGTTGTGTTTACAGCCACCTCCTCATGCTGACCAGTTGATAACTAGACTGGTCCTGGAGCAGCACCCCTGAGCCTCCAAAAAGCTGTTCCTGCCTGGATCATTAGCTCAGGGTGATGCACATGCAGGCCCTGGAGGACTCCAAAGCCACCCACTTTCAGATCAAGGCAATCTGAGAAAGGTTTGACTCATCTACCACCAAGCCCAAGGAGCTGAGAGGGAGAAATGCTCAGGGGAATGAGGATGAGAGTTCAGAGCCTGAGCTGTGCATGCTCTTGCATGTCCTAAGTCAGTGGCTTCTCAAAAGAATACATTGAGAACAAATGACAATTTGGATGTCACTCATGTCCCAGGGAAATACTGGGGATTTTGCTTTTTACTGCTGCTTAATCAAACCAAGGCAGGCCAGGGGATCAAAGGCAGTTCTAAAAGACAGCACTCAACACCATCCCAAGCACATTCACAGTGCACATACAAATATACAAGTTGTCTGCATTAAAAAACATTATCTGTTGTGTTGTATTACGTGCAGGTGGAAGTGAGCACTGACCAGATTAAGACTAAAAAATAATGTCTTTATTTTGAGGTCCACTATGAAGTTGTGCAAGAAGTGCATCCTCTTTTTCTTCTTACAGGCAACATATTAGAGCCCAGTCCCAAAACTCCACCACAGACAAGTTCAGATTTCTGACTTGCTGCTGTTAAATGTGCTGTCCCCTTGCCCAGAGCCTGTGGCAGAAGAGCAGCAGGGGCTGACTGCCCTGTTAGTGCTGTTCTTGGAGGAGAGAAAGATTCAATATCAGCAAGAGAGCTGCAAACTCTAGGGAAGCGACACCACCTGCACGTGGGAGGATTTAGGCACATCACACCCCTGTGTGGGGAATCACATCATCTTCTGAGGGCTGCTGCTGCATTTCTGCTCCTTTTCCCTACTAATGCGGTGCTGCTCTCCCCAGAGCTTCAAACGCTGAGGAGTTTTTACTCCTTGCAGCACCCTCAGGGTTTGGTGTCCCCTAGCTTTGCCAAGAAAGCAGTGAACTCCAGACTAGAAAAGACTTTTTTTTTACACATCACCACGAGGTGGGTGGGATGTGCAAGACCACAGCAGGCCCAGCCTCCAGGTCAGTGAGCACTGAGGGGCTTCAGCTGAGCCTCTGTGACATCTTCCCCATTTTTTTTTTTTGGCTTGTGAACTCCCCAGATAAAAAACTCCATCAGATAAATTCCAAGGGAGGTTTTTAGGGGCTGCTCTCATTTGCCATCTTCCCCTCAGCCCTGCAGACCTCTTGATATGAGGTGGGACCCAGGACTTCCAAAAACAGCAGCACCTGGCAGCAGGCTGTTGATAGCAGCCTATTTCTAGGTCTGCCTTTATCAGGGAGGGCCTGGAAGTGCTCCCAGGAGCACAGGGCATGCTGCACATTCCAGCACAGCTGCCTTGCACTGACCAGCAGTGCTGCAGGATGCCTGGGCCCAGGACAGAGGCCACAGGGCACCAGCCAGCCCTCCATGGCTCCAGGACAGCTCACTGCCCCAGTACAGAGGTGTCAGGAGGACATTTGGCACCTCCTGCTATGCTCAGCAGGTCTCAGTAAATCCCTTCTGGCCTCAGTTTCTTGTGGCTATTGTGGGGTGTTTTCTTGTGCAAACCAAAGGCAGAGTGAACCTGAGCCTCAAGCCAGGAGAGCTTCATCCCATTCCTTTGGAAAAGTCAGCCCCAGCAAATGAAACCCCTTGAGCAGTTGCTCAGGTTTGTGTTTGTTACCCGGTAATGGCAGCAAGCATTGCTCACCTGGACGTGGTGAGAAGTGCTCCTGTTCCTTCCAGATTTCCTCACCTAGATCTGAATCTTTTTCACTTAAGTTTTGCATCAGTTTGGGTTACAAAAGCAAGTCTTGTTTCAGGTGAAGGATGCTCATGGCAAACAAGGAACAGTCATTTGGTGGTGCCCTGGAGGACCAGACCCTCAGATTAAAGTGTAGAGCCTATTTCTGTTCATCTCTTAACTATTCTCAGTTATTAGGGTCTTTTCAGAAACCATAATAAATGAATGTGAAATAAGCAGCTGAACATACTGATAACACTGGAAAGCAGAAGAAGAGCCATACCTGGTTTTGAAGCCCAAAACCAGGGAACACTCCTGCTTAGGCTTTACCAGAGCCACATCCAGTGAAAGAAGTGCCTCCTGTCCTGCAAGCTTACTTCCAGCACACACAGGAAGATCCCAGCACACCACAAGATCCCATGTTTCAGTATCCAGGTCTCCATCCTGTGAAACTCATCCAGAATCATCAGTTCATCTGCATTTGATAAGCAGACCCTCTTCCAACATCCAGGATGTCCCTGCAAACACAGCCTGAAGCTGTGCTGAGCAGAAACACTTGGCCAAGAGATCACTTTGATCAAGAGATGATGGTATTTTGACCTGGAAGCACAAGACAATCACTGATTCAGAACAACTTCCCACCCACCCTGCAGAGACTTTGCCCAGATCACATTTCCCCAGTTCATTGGGGCATGGAACAGCACCAAAGGCTGGTGGATGCCAAGCTGTGTCACATCTGATGGCTCTTCCCTTTCCAAGCAGAGTATCAGGTCATCAAAGGCAACGAGGCTGGCACGACAGAATTTGAGAATCCCACTTTATAGCTGGTAGAAATTGAATCCCCACAAGTCTGTCAGTAGTGATATATCCCAGGTAATGCAGGATTGAAATCTCCTGGCCCCAAGTCTCAGTCTTATACTTAAGCAACAATCTGATTTGTCAACTTTCACAATTTATGGGCTTTGCAATATTTAGTAGATGGTGAGAGAGGGGAAGTAGGCAAAGGAGTTATGGCCACAACTTCCTGCTCAACTTCATTCTTAGGTTCCTGGTTTTAAAATACAGAAATAAATTTGGAGATACTGAAGGTCTCCAAGCCAGAATACATACAAATTTGGGTGTATCACATCTGTCTATCTATCTATCTGCATTTTATCTCAAATCTGGTGCTGCCTCATGCTCTCCAAGCCTTTGGGTCTGATAGCACTTTGTGCAATAAGACACTTCAGGAAAATAAACAAGGGTATAAACAAGGGTATAAAATAGGTGTCATTTTAGAAATAAAACTAATAAATGGTCTATAAATTCAAGAGAATATTTTCAAAGCTGCCTCTGGGCTCAAATGTCCATAAACTTAAAATCAGGCTTTTGAATAATTTCCTAGACTATTGCAGTATAATCAGTAAAGCTAATAGCTGATTTAAAATAAAATAAAACTCAGTATAACTGAACCTAGAGACACATTTCATTGACCTAAAAACAACCCCCCCAAAAACAGCATAGAAATGCATTTCCTAAAATCATCACTGTAAAATCAGTTCTGTTTTTAAGGAATTCCATCAAATTCATTCTACATCCCTGTGTAACACAGGCAGGGTTTCCAGAGCCTCCTGCTCCTGGCAGCTCCCAAGGCTGGCAGCACAGACCATTCCCTGGCAGGTTGCTGGAGACCCCAGCTCCACACCACACCTCAGTACATGTCTGCATACAAACTGCATTTTGGTGCATCCATAATTAGCACAAAGCAAATGGCCCCCAGTTGTGACAAATGGTTTTCAGCTCAGTTATCACCCACAGCAAGGACCAGAGGAACCCTCAAGGGCTGTGGGAAAGGAGGCAGAAAAGGGAGAGAAACCTTCTTGAAGTGACTTTTATTAGCTGCCACCCTCAGCCCTGGCCCAGGAAAAATCCAAAATGTTTGTTAGCCCAGACAGACCAAATCAATTTGGGGATTTTTATTTGTTGCCACCTAACCAGGTGTTGCAAGAAGAAAAATCACTGGGCTGCTCAGCTCATTCTGCCTCTTAAAGCTTTGGCCTAAAACAGAAATTTGAATGGCTAATGGTGGTCTTCCTTCAGTCCTGACTATAATGAGTGTTTAAATGTTCCAAATACTTGTATTTTTGCAAAATAACAGGAAGCACCAAGAGAAAGATGAGTTATACTTTATTTTTCAAGCCCTACTCAGAGGCAACTTGAACTGTAACTATCCCAAGATTAGCTGATGGTGACCACTTAGAACCAAAACTCCCGTTCCTAAATATCTGGATTTATACATCCCCATCAGAACAACAACAGTAACAGCAATTCCCTCCTCCATGGCAAGAGGCACAGCCAGGCTGGGGTTCACCCATCTGGAATAGCCAGGATACTGAGGGCACACAAACATATTTATTTATATAAAATATGTATTTAAATGTACAATATATATTTACATATATATTATGTTTTCATATGTAAGATATAGTGTATCTATATTATATAATCTGGATATGTTATTTTAAATTATATATACATAATATATTAAATGTTCAGCTTACGCAGATGACTGCTCAGAATTGTCCTGGGTGCTCAATCTCTCCCTAAGCTGTGTCAATGCCTCCCAGCTCCCTGTCCCTGCCCACCTGCTGCACACTGGTACCAGGAGCAGGGCACAGCAATGGAACCCTGCCCTTCCCTTTGGGGAGCCCTTTGCCTCCCCACTGCAGTGGCATTTGACCAGTTCTGCTCCTCTTCAACCCATGTGCAGAGAAGGGGAAGTTATTTTTCACAGAAATGTAGAATAGTTTGGGTTGGAAGGCCAAAACTCATCCCATCCCAAAGGTGGGGACACTTTTCAGCAGAGCAGGTTGCTCCAAGCCCCATCCAGCCTGGCCTTGAGCACTTCCAGAGATGGGGCAGCCACAGCTCCTCATTTCAGGTGGGTCAGGAGGACACCTCTCCACCAGCGGTGATGCAGCCAAGGCTGGACACTGCTTTACCCCCTGGCAATGCATTTTAAGAGCCATTCCTTAACCAGACTGCTCCTTTCATTGTCTGTCTCCCAAACCCACCAGCACAGCTCTGCATGCTGCAGCACTGTCCCCCTCCTGGGCTCCCAGTGGGGGTCCCTGACCCACCCTACAGAGCTGTCCCAACCTTTCTGAGAGCCACTTCTACCAGCAAACAGATCACACTCACAAATCACTGCCTGGAAAGTCTGTGTGGTATGTGGCTTAATTTTCTTTTCCATAATATGAAATCCAATCTGAAATGCACAGATTAGTTTACTAATCTGTGTAAATCCTATTAATAGCACTTACACTGCCGTGCTCCCATTCACATTCTAACAAATCTGCTTGCACTGGTTTGGTTTCCCCTCATCTCCTGCAAGATCTTCACACCTGGCTGCTGTCACGTCTTCACAAAATAGCTGGCCACAAATGGCAACTTGTGCTTTGCAGTCATCTCTCATCTTTTAATTTGTGTCCCATGGTCCATCGTGTTCTGGATCAAAGCATTAGTGCTGTAAATCACCACGGTGCCATCGAAGCTAAAGGGATTATACAGGGGATCACACAGCTCCAGTGGGGAAGGGCAGAGCTTGTGCCCTCCTCTCCCCCAGCATCTCTGCCTTCTGTGCCTGCTCCAGCTGCATCCTGCCCCTCACAGCTCCACTGGCACCCCAGTGACTCCATCCTGCCCTGGGCACCAGGCCCAAAACTGGCCCAAACACCAGCAAAGGACCTGCTTGCAAGGAGGAGCTGATGGACCATCTCTGGAGCCACTGGATGTGCTCACAGCAGCCCCACACACATCCCCTTGTCACCAGTGGGTTTAGGGTGGCACACCTGGCACCTGGGCTTGTGCCTGGCACAGGGAGCAGCCCCACTGGCAGCTGGGTGAGCTCCCCTGAGCCCAGTGTGGGCTCTCCAAGAGAACACACCCTCTGCTCTGCTGTAGAATAAACCGTTCTCTGCTTGAAACAACAATATTTACTTTTCCTCTAGTGGACTCCAGTGGCTCCCTATGTCACAGTGAGAGGAGTCAGAACCAGGAGAGGAGGAGAGCAGGGCTTGCATGCCTGGCTCCAGCTTCCTAATCAAGCTGTGCATTAATTAGCTAACCCACCTCCACACTCTGTCCCTTGTGCTTCGTTTCAGCACCGTCCTGGAGTCCTTGTAACCGAGCACCTTGCACAGCCTCAGCCTGCCCCACAGCGTGCCAGCTCCATGCAGAGCCAGGGCCACGCTGTTCCCTTGAGCTGAGGAGTCCTTGCCCTTGGGCCAGGCTGGAATTTGCCAGAGCCAGCCCTTGGGAAGGGCTCTGTCACTCCTGACTTGTGTCCTTGCACTCTTCCAGCACCTGCCAATGCATTCCACACCTTGTGCCAGGCAGGAGAGGGTGGGTGCAGGACAGGATGACACCCTGCCAGGAAAGGAGCTCCCCAGAATGTACCAGATGGGAGGTGTTCATGGGGAACAGAACATGGAAACTCTCAGGTGATGAAGGGTAAAAGATCTACTCTAGATCGTCAAAAGGAAAGGATTTGAGCTAAAACTGCTTTTGCACGAGTTCACAGTAGGACAAACCCACTCCCTGCCAAGGGACCCTGCTCCTTGCATGAGTCTGTTGGCTGCATGATCCCCACCATCCAGCTCTCCCCAATTCCCAGGGCCATGCTCTGAAGTGCTTTCACTAACCTCAGTAAAAAGGCCAGACCTACAGTGCCAAGACAGTTCCAGCACAGCCTTGGATACATTTCCAATGGCTTTTCTACCAGAGTGTGAAACAAATTATTAGCATAAAGGATTTGTGGCTTTCCTCTTTACTTCCCTGAAGCTGAAGGTAGAGGCAGCTGAACTGCCTCTACCACCCACCCAAAAGTATTTGGATTTTCTCTCATCACTGTAGAAAATTTTCAAGGTCAACAATGCTTCACTCTCTCCCAGTTTCCCCTAAAATGGTTTTAAAGTTTTAATTACCTGAATAATTCTTGTGGTTTACTTGAGTGTTAGCTCAGGAATTGTTTGTAATACCTAGTTTTGTGGAAGAAATATTTTAAAAGAGTTACCCACACTCAAGACATTTTCCCCAAATTCTCTTTTACAAAGGGTTCTTACCTGTTGCCTGTGTTAAAGCTTGCCTGTAAAACAGCTTTTTGTTTACAGACCTTTAATCTCTTGGTAAAGGTGCCAGTTGTGAGATATTAAAATGCCACAAAGAAAAAAAAATTAAACAGAAAAAATTAGGAAATTTCAGAGTGAGAGAGACAACCAGCCAAATACAATATGTGGCCAGACAGAATCAGGAGTGCTGGCTGCAGAACAAACCCAAGAGGCATCAGAAAAACCTCCCCAGCCACGGTGGAAATGGTTCACCAGCAAAAGGAATGTACAAAACACAACGAGGGGGAAGATCCCCCCCTTCCTCCTCTGCCTTGCCCCCAAAACACATCTGCCACCGATGCCTCTGGTGCATGCAAATGTGCCACTCGGGAAGGGCAAACAGGAATTTTGCCTCTGGTGTCCTGCCTGCCCCCCCCTCTGCAGGCGGACCTTTGGAAAAGTGGTGTTCAAAATAAAAAAGGGTGAGATAAGAGATGGGGAACGGCTCATCTCAGCCCTTTGTACTTCCACAGGGCTCCTCTGTAAAATGAGTGTGATTTCTATCACCCTTGCTGCAGAGCACCGTGTGCTGGAGACTTTGTCCCAACATCAAGATCTTGTGTGCTCACAGCCAGCCTGTGCTCATTTTCCCCCCTGGAGCAGCTCGTTCCTCTTGGATGTGGCTCTAGGGGACAGCCACCACCCCTCTCTCACCCTGCCTTTTCTGCACAGCCTGGCCAAGCTCTGCCAGAGGTTGGCCTGCACAGAGTTCCTTGTCCTGATGTCCAAACCTGCACCACACCCATCATCAGCTGGGACACGGCACACCCTGCAAGAGCCCCTCTGGTTTCTGCACCCAAGGAGTTTATAACTCCCCTTCTCCTGCCTGCTGCTCCCACTCCTGGAATGAACAAGCAGGAGAGCTCAGCTCTGCTGGGAGGGTACCTCCAAAATGTGAGCTTGGCTCTCAGCTGCTCTTCAAACCCTGCCCAAGGACACACTCCTGGGCTCTGGTTGCTCGTTCTCAGGCACCATCAGGGCTTTCTGCCCCTGCCTGTCCCCAGGACAAAGATTTCTGCCTCTCTGTGGTCTTGGCAGAAGGAGTGATGTGTCTCCTCCATGGTCATTGCAGAGTTCAGCCTGCTGCACCAGTGCACGCTGCAGGAGCAGGTGACTTCAGCCAGGACAGCAGATCACAAATGTGGTTACAGAGGGCTCTGCTATGGGGGATCATTTGGAAGGATAAGTTGGATAAGCAGGAGAAGTCACCTCTGAAACCTCATGGAGCCTAAAATCCTAGATCAGCCTTTGTAGCCTGCATCATCCCAGCTTTTGCCTTCAGAAATTCAGAGCTCAATTTCTGCTACACAATTGGGCTGTTTGATTTCTGCAGCTTACTGCAGCATCTCCTGCTTCCACACACCAGGATGTCAAGGGAATACTGGCATTGTCTGGTGTAATTGTGCTCTAGGGGCAGCAACAGAAAAATTGCTGTACATTTTCCTCCACTTCAGCCCTGCAAAACCCTTTTCACCTCCCTGGAATGCAAGTTTTCAATCACTCTCCTCTATCTCCAGTGCTGAGTTACACAGGATCCCATCTGTAGGGAAGCATCTCAGTGTTAAAACTCCCTTTGAAATGTATCTTAATTAAGTATTTACAATTAATACTGGAAGCTGTGTAGAGGATGACAAGTCCTGGCCCTTGGTGTCTCCCAGTCCTCCGTGCACAAACACAAATGAGCTGCCAACACACTCCTCAAAGCTGCATCCTGCAGCTCAGTGATCCTGTTGATGTCTGCACGTTTGGAAGGAAATTAAGGAGTGCCAGCAGCAGCCACGACCACGTTGTCTTTAAAGCTGAGGAATGCTTTGGAAAGTGATTGTGTACAAAAATAGTCATAAAAACTCCCAAATATTTCATGCTAAAACCCCCAAATATTTCATGCTGTCCTCATGCTCAGCCTAGCAACTTCACCAAGCACCCATCTACTACCACTGATGGTAAAGATAAGTTTCTACTACCACAGCCTTACCTCAAAAAGTGCAGCTCCACGTGCATTCACAGCTGTGCTTTGGGATCTAAGTGGAATTGCTGGAAATCTCCCAGAACTGAAGGAACTTCACTTGAACATGAGAAAAAGGGGAGGGGAGAAAAATGCAGTCACTAGATCAGACTCTGTGATCTGATCCACTCGAGGCACAAAGGACATTAAAATAGAACTGAAACTCAAATTTGATGAAGCCAAGAGAGAGCAAAGCTGGGTGTAATTAACCTACAAGATTCACGGGCACAAATTATCACAGAGGCCAAGAGCTTGTTCCTGAAAGTGTGGATATGCATATATATATATACACACACCTGAGCAGATATAAATATATGTGTATAACTGTGTTCTCTCAGGGCTGAAAAGGAGTTGACAGCACCATTCAGTTTTTCCCCCAGCTCCAAGACAAGATCAAATAGACGTCGGTATTTTCTGACAGATGTTTGTCTAGACCTGTTTTTAAACAGAGAATCTCCCACCTCCCCAGGCAATTTATTCCAGCACTTCCTTTTCTTCTTCAGCTTCACACACACACGCACAGGTATCTTTGTCTCAGAAGGCGAGGGGAGCAGCCTCTGATGCCTTGCACATCAAAAGGCTTTGTGAAGTCATTTCTCATGGCAAGACCTTTCTTGCGGGTGACGTACGAGCCCAAAAGATCCCATCGTGACCTGAGGTGACAGGCTGGGCTTGGGGGACAGCAGATGGGGCAAGGGGGGGCAAATGGGGAAGGAGGGGGAAATTCAGTCTTTTCCTTATTAACCCGTCAGATTTGTCTGCTGATAACACAGAGCAGCTTTGAACCCTCCATTTTTAGACTCAGACGTTAAGTTCCTCTCTTTTTTTGATGGAATAAATGCACTTTTGGCTTCTCCAGCAGCCACCTCAGAAGAGATGCTGTCCTGTCAAACTTCAGTAAGGCAGAGGAAGGGATGAGGAATGAGGCTGTGCAGCTGGAATATGTAAAAGGCAGGATGGAGGGTAGCACTTTTCCAGCCACCCTGGATATCTATTACCTCCACTTTTGGACTGACAATGCACCAAATGTTTCATTGCCTGGGGCCTTACAAAGCTGACCAGCTTTTATAGCTGAAAGCACTAATGTAGAAAGGCAATTGGGAATTAATTATTTAATGTGGTTCTCATTGGTAGAAAGCTTCCACCCCTCCTGCATCTCAGCTACCATTATACATATGTTGCTTTTCTTCAGACTACAGTGATTAGACAGCAGAGGAAAATGATGGCTAAGTCCTGTTCCCACTTGCAATGAACTCCATTTAAATCAGCAGATTTTCATTCAAAAACCAAGGGCACAGTTTGGCCCCGTGCTAGGAAAACATTGTTTATGACAAAAACAAACAAACAAACAAAAAAAAAACATAAATAGATTGCAGCATCTCAATTTCTGAAAATAAGCCTTTTCATACATGTGCTCCCAAATTCCCTCTTTGAAAGGCAGAATATTCCTACTTAAAAATTAAAATCCATGCAAGTAGCCCTATCTGTAGGAAATAACATCAAGCTCCCTTTAATTTGGCTCTTTAAATACCTCACTGGAGCAGAGAGAAAGGTGTATCCCAAATCCACTACACATTGGTTCAGCTCCAACTTCTCCCCAATTCTAAGATAAGCATCTATTTCATTTAAAGCCTTTTTAGTTATGACCTGTGAAGAAGCAAATGTCCTTTTGAAGATCTCCCTGCAACAGCTGCATGCCAGAGACTCTTGGCCAAGTTACTTGAAGAGCTTAAGGATCAGGCCCCACGTATTTAAAAAAACAAAGTGCAAAATAAGATTGTAGAGTGGGGTTGAGAAGGGGCATGAACTTACCTGTCAGCTGTGATACGTGGGAAACTGGTAACTGCTTCCCTGCAGTCAACACCTCCAGAATCATTCCAGGTGAAGCTCCAACAGCATCCTGCTAAAATTCAGTGTAGTGAATTACACCAGGAATTAATTTATTGCAATGTGTCATATTTATCCAAATACAAAATATATTGGGTTTGCCTTTTTTTTTTTTTTTTTGGCCCTTCAGATGAAAGATATACGTCTGTACAGATGTGCTTTTCTAAGATCCAGTGGCATGAAACCTGAAATGCCCCAGCAAGATTCAGGAGCGAGTTTTAATCACCATGGAAGCACGACACTTTTGAAGGTCTATGAAATTATACACCCAGGTCTGAGAAGAGTAAACCTATCCGTCTGGAGAGATCTGCTGATAAACAGAGACAACTCATTTTCTGCTGCATTATGTGCTGTTTGAAAAAAAAAAAAATCAGATGTTAGAGACAGCTTTGTGCTGGGAAGAGAAACGAGTTAAAAAAAAAAAAACAGCGCTGGGAGAGGCTTTCTGTGAGGGAAAAGGGAAGGCAGCGTGAAAGTATTCCCTGCAAATTCAGGAGGTGGAAGAGAAGACGGGCTGAGCATCTCTCAGGGCCAGACAGAGCAAGGCTGGCGACGACAGAGGCATATGGAGACCCACCCAGGGCGCAGCCAGAGCGGAGGACCCCCGGCCCTCGGCTCACGCAAGGTGACCTTTCCCCTCTCTAAAATTTCAAAGCTGGCGTTGCCGGCGCTGAGCAGACTGTGTGCCATATGTAACATGACCTCAGCTCTGCTCTGCCAAGCCACTGATGGCATCACTAATGAGAGGTGAAAGGTCCCCTCCTTGCAGCCAGCCTGGAAAGCCACCAGGGCGGTGGGTGCAGGATGGGCCCCCCAGCCCTGGATCCCCACAGCCCCCTGCTGCCACGCGTGGGTGCCCACTGACCCGCCACAGGCACACACACACCCCTCCGAAAGGGTGATGCTGCCTTCCTCCCTTGGCCCAGCTGAAGCTGGCACAGTCCCACAGCAATGGAATATTTGTTCAGTACCCGAATGCAAAGCACGGGGGCAAACAGAGCCTGGGATGTAAATCCAAAAGGGTGGTGCTGCCTTCCTCCCTTGGCTGAAGCTGGCACAGTCCCACAGCAATGGAATATTTGTTCAGTACCCGAATGCAAAGCACGGGGGCAAACAGAGCCTGGGATGTAAATCCTGTCCCCAGCCCAGCTGCCAGCCTCACAGCCTCCTGCTCCCAGTGCGGATCGTGCGGTGGCCACGTGGGGAGGAGGATTTGTGCTGGGGGATGGCACAGAAGGAGGAGAGCCTCCAAGTGCCTGCCTCGATCCGGGGAGGACCCAAAATGTAATTTAGATGATTTTTTTTTTTTCTGAGCATTTTGCACAGAAATCATTATAATAATATATTGCACCAAAAAAAAAAAAAAAAAAAAAAAAAAACACCAAAAAACCCCCCATCAACCCTGCTGCCTTTTTGTTCGGCATCCTTTTTTAAATAAGGGGTTTCTTGCAGTTTTCCTAGTGTCCAGCGCCCCCATCCTAGCCATCACCTAAGACAGGGACAAACGGGAGCCACCCCCGAACTCCCTGCCCCAGACGTGTGAGTGCGGGTGGGACTCACAGACGCGGGCGGGGTGCGGCTCCCGGGAGGATCCGTGCCCCCGGGGCTGCGGGAGCGCTCACACGGCTCGGGGCGAGCGCCCGGGGCAGCGGGGTGAGCCCTCCGGAGCTCTGCGGGAGCGGGGATGTCGCACACGCGGGTGGGGTGACAGCGTGGGTGACACGCGGGTGGGTCACAGCGCGCGCACACGCGGGTGGGGTGACAGCGCGGGGGACACACGGGTGGGCTCCGGTGCCCCGCAGCCCCAGCCCAGCCCCGGCGCCTCGGGGGCACCGGCCGGGCTGGAGCCGCCTCCCCGGGCGCACGGCGCGCAGAAGGCGCCCGTGGTTTTTTTCGCTTCTGGAGTGACTCATTCCTGGCAGATGTGGCACGGCCGAGGTGCAGCGGGGACGCCCTCAGGACAAACACCCCACCCGTGCTGCTGCCTCCCCACGCAGGGCCAGACCCCGCGGGGAAGGGGCTGCCTCTACCCCTCGCTGCTCTTCTGCCGGGGATTCATTTCTACATCGCGCCCGGCGCTGCGAGATTCAATTTTTCGTTCCAAATGTTATTCTGCCCCTCGCCCTCAGAGCACCCTGCTCTCACAGGGGCTCAGGCGAGGCTGCCCACGCGTGTTGGGGGGCGCTGGGCCATACCCAGCTGCCGGCCGAGGAGGGCTGCACAGGGGCAGCTGGGGCGTGTTTTTCACCCACGGAGGAGCCGCATCCCGAGGGAACATCCTGCAGAGAAGCAGCGCTCGAACCCGCGGCAGCCCCGCGCCTGGCTTGGCCGCAGCCTAATTCCTGCTGCGGTATCTTATTAAAAAAATTAAAAATTAAAAATTAAGAAAGAGGCAGAAGTTGCAGCTGACATTGCCTCGCGTTACGGCCCTTGGCCGCAGCCTAATTCCTGCTGCAGTATCTTATTTAAAAAAAAAAAAAAAATTAAAAATTAAGAAAGAGGCAGAAGTTGCAGCTGACATTGCCTCGCGTTACGGCAAACGCTGTTACGCTGGGAAAAGAGAGAAAAACAGCGTCGGGAGAAAGCGAATCTCAGCGCCGGTACCGCGCGTCCCTGCGCGCCCGCGGGCGATCCCAGCGCCCCTTTCCCCCCTCGGCGTGGGGTCCACCCTGCATAAATACATCGCCACCTCTGGGGCGAGCAGCTGGGCATGGGGGGGTGGGCATGGGTCGTCCCCTCGGAGCGGGGGGCTGCAGCTGCGCCCCCCGGGTACCCCCGGGCCGTGTCACGGCCGCGGACGCGCGGGGAGAGGCAGCGCGGCCCGCGCCGGCTGCGAGGGGAGCCGGCCAAGCTCCCGTGCAGAAAAGGAGTTAAACCCCGCCGTTGTCCTTTGATTTAGGAAATGGCTCATCCAATTCAGTTCCAGATTATTCAGGGGCAGGCTGCCTCGCTCGCTCCCTCTCTCCCCACACCAGCCCAAACATCTTGAAGTAATCAGCAGCTGAGAACGGAGACGTCCCCCTGGCATCTCAGGTTAAAGAAGGAGGTCCAGGAAAATGTGGTAGAGCCATTACAAGAAACCTGAGATGCATTCATCAGAGACTCCAATTGCCATCGCATTAGGATTGATTAGAGACCAGCAGTACCGTAATGACCCGGAAAGCAGGGCATACGGGGATTATTAATATCAGACTTCTCAAAGGGAAAAAAAAAAAAAAAAAAAAAAAGAAAGGAAAGGAAAGGAGAGAGAGGAAAAAAAAAAAAAAGGAGGAAAAACCGGAGGAAAGTAGGGAAGAAGCAGGAGGGAAAATCTAAAAAACAAAAGCACATCGCGGGGCTGCTGCTCGGATGCAGACTTACCTGACAGCACAGGCACCGGCGAGCCGCACCGACGAGAATTTATCTAACTTCTGGAGGGGAAAAAAGCAAACAAACATGGAAAAAATCGCCTCTGGACCCCCTGAAATCGCCTGCTCCCATGCACGGCTCGCACAGAGACTCCCAGCGCTGTGGCCACGGGCCGGGTTCGGGGGTCCAGCCCGGGCTCCCCCTCCCGGGCCAAAGGACGCCGGTCCCCGGGCTGGCGACAGCAAGGACAAGTAAAGGAGCCACCAAAGAGGAGCAAGGAGACCTCGGTGGCTCGTCTCCTTCTCAGTTCCCTGCGCCAAAACAAATCAGCCCCTCCTGGTCTCGGTTTAAATGTAGCTCACTGGATAATTAACTCCATCTTTCCAGCCCTGCTTTAACTGTTTATTTAGTGTCACCCCGTATTACCATCACTAGCACTTTCCTCTGAACAGGAGGAGCTGGAGGGTTTCACCTCCCAAAAGGAAATTCTTCGTAGCTTAAAAGAATCAGCATCCAGGAGGTACATTAGCGAAAAAGGAAGGGGGGAACGGGATCTAGGGGGTCCCGTGGCAAAAGCAGGAGGAAATAAGGGTGGAGGTGGGGGGACAGGGACAGAAAGACGTATCGGCCCTGGGAGAGAAGAAAACAACGCGTGATCACCTCTAATCCTTTGAAAAAATGCCCCGGTAAGTGCGCGAAGAAAGAGCCCTTTGTGCCCTGGGGATCGGCCACACCGGGAAGGCCTTATCCTCATCCTCATCCTCCTCCTGCCAGCATCCCGGCCTGACCCCGCTGGGTGCGGGGGGACCCTCGCCGGGCACCCCCGGGGCGCGGGGCCCGGGCAGGGACGCGGCCCCCGCCCCGGGACAGCGGCTTTGTTTTTACAGGTGTCGGGAGGGCAATTTACTAACAAGTAATTAAAGGTCGCACCGGTTTGCAGGCGAGCCGGGCCAGAGGCTGCTGCAGGAGAAGAGCGGTGCATGTGGAGAGAGGGGTTTGTTCTTCCTCGTTAAAAAATAGAATAATAAAGGACTGGGGGGGGGAGAGAGGGGGAGAAAGAAAATACAAATCCTTTATTGTTGGGGAATAAGCCGGGAAGCTGGCTGTCTCCCTGCGCCCCGCATTCGGCGGGGAAGGCGGCGCGGATCCGGTATCACGTTGCAGATCCTCGCTCGAGATAACGAAATGCGATCTATTTTTCAGAACAGCAAGTGGATGGGAAAGGAGCCTCTACAACATAAACCTCATTGACTTAATGGGTCGGTTTTGGATTTCGCCTTCGAAATGTTCGGCGAGTGGCAGCGTTGTGTTTCTGCCCCGCCGGTTCCCAGCCTCCAGCCCCGCTTCTCATCCCGACGAGAAGCGGCTCCCAAAAACCCGCTGCTGGTTTTATTTTGTTGCGTTATTTGTTTCCTCTAGACCCTCTCACTTCTAGAAAAAAAATATTAAATTTTACTTTTGATTGGGGAAGAGCTTTATTTCTAATCTCGGAAGGAAATGGGGGATATATTTTGTTTACTTTTTTTTCCTGCTTTCTTTTGATTTTCTGGCGAAATCGAGGAAAAACCCGCAGCGCGTTGCGTGGGCTCCATCTTCATCCCCGCCCTGCGCTGTACAAATACATCGAATAAATAAGGGAATAACTGAATTTCCCGCACAAACAGAGCCGATGGGTGCCCGGGCAATGGGGGCGAGCAGCGGAGGCCCCCTCGCTCGGCCGCCTCCTCTCCGCGGGCGCGGAGGAGCCAGGCCCCGGCGGCGGGGGCAGCCCGGGAGCTCCGGGAGATGCTCCGGGAGGTGCTGCCAGGAGATGCTCCGGGTGATGCTGCCCGGCTGCTCCTGCTCCGCCGGCAAAGAAAGCCCCGAGAGGGGCCGGCGGCAGCTCTGCGCCGTTGTCTTCTTCCGTGGCTTTTTGTTTATTTGCATCATCCTTGTTTATGGTTTGGTTTTATTTTTTGAGCGGCTAGAAACTCTCTTTTTTTTTGTTGTTGCTTTTGTGATTCTTTTCAAGGGTTAAATGGGATTGGGGTGTTCTGGAAATACATTTGCCTCTTGGTTCGAAATGAAAGGTTCCTAATTTTTAGGAAAACCAACCCCGGAGCCTTTAGGAACATTGATGCTCAGCGGTCCTTGCCTGCAGAGCTCCCAGGTAGACCCGGGCGGGTCTGTCCCCTCCTTTTGTGAATTTTGGTGAGAGGGGAGAATAAAGTCCCGCTCAAGAATCGCGAGGAAGCCTCCGCTCAGCCCTCGCCCGTGTCTGTCAGCTCTTCCGCCGGCCGCATCGGGATAATTTGCTTATTCCCAGCAAGAGCGGTGTTTGTTTTGGTCGGCCCTTTAAAGGAGGAAAAAAAAAAAGAAGAAGAAGAGAACAACAACAAAAAAAAGGAGAACTGTGAGGGCAAGAGGAGCCCGCTCTCGTTACAATGCCCAGGGGCTTCCCCAGTCCCGCGTTGCGTTTCTCTCCTTCTCATCCAGAAGTTACAAACCCTCAGGTCCGTGCTCTTCCCGAGCTGAGCGCCTCCTTAGAAAGAAGAAAATAAAATTTAAAATGAACAACAATAGAAATGAGGGATGGGGGAACCCACCCCTAGGCTGGGCAGGGCGCTGCTCCTCCAGGACGCGGCCGCGGGCGAGCCTATGCCTTATAATTCTGCGCACTTGCTCCAGACTTTAGGGTATTAGTTGATTTTAGAGCCGGGTTTAAGGCTCCGTTCCGGTCCCCACACAGCTGCCTTGTCAATAAGGATCTGTTCCAAGTAGACATTCCTTCTGGGAGGACATTGCAGCTCTTTAAGACTTCATCTGCAACATCATAAGTACTAAAATAAAATGGCAAGGGAAAATTACCAGACACATGGTCATGGGATATGGAAGCGCCCTGACTCCAGCGGACATAGTACAGTCGCTGTACAGACTGGGTGGCAGTGGCTTAATTTAAACAGCCCCGAGACGAGAAGTACGTGGGAAAAACAACAATCCGGATTTAGGAAAATATCGGCCTTTCCCACGTCGTGGCACGGGCAGGGAGCGCCGAGCCCCGCGGCCGGAGCGGGCTCCCCTTCCCTCGCAGCAGTGAACTCAAATAAATCCGACTTGGTAGGTCAAATAAATCCCACTGTCTTAGTGAGGACAAACAGGTTTTAAAGAGCCCCGCGATGGCTCTTAGCACCCGCGGAACGAACCCATTCCTGAATCCAAAGCGTTCTGGAGTGTGCTTAAAATACGGGCTTCGACTTATCTAATCAAAGATAAATAGAGCCATAAAGACACCCCCAGCCCCCCGCGCCCTGCCCTTATCTCACCGCATTGTCCTCACCTCCCTGCTGACAATAGATTATCTTTGCTTAGGGAGCCTAATTGTTTTCTAATTTTTTTAAATAATTGCTTTTTGAGCGGGGGTGTGCAAACGAGGATTAGGCTAATTAAAGCGCCGCCGCTGGGCGCTGCGCGGGGCTGCCCCGACCCTCCGCGCTCACGGGGCAGAGCGAGGGGCAGCAAAGGGGCGCACGGGCGTTATTCAGCCCCTCACGAACACATTATTTATTCATCCCCAGCTCCAAGGTAATTAAATACGGGCTGCCTGGGCGTGGGGGGGGTGGCCGGGCTGGGCCGGGCCGGGCCGGGGGTGCCCAATCAGCGCGGCGCGGGGGCTCGGGCGCTTTAAGCGCGGCGGCGGCGGAGCGGGGACAAAGTCCCCCCGGCGGCGCGACGAGCATCCCCGCTCGCCCCACACACCGCCCTCGGCTGCCGCTGCGCCTCCCCGCTCTGGGGCCGGCACCGGGATCGGGATCGGCACCGGGATCGGGATCGGCACCGGGCCCGGGCCCGGCGGGCGCCTACCCCGCGCCCCTCCGCCGCCGCGCTCCCGCGGGGTGCCCGTCGCCTCCTCCTCCTCCTCCTCGTCCTCCTCCTCCTCCTTCTCGTCCTGCTGCGGCCGCCGCCGCGCCCGGCCATGTCGATGCTGCCGTCGTTTGGCTTCACGCAGGAGCAGGTCGCCTGCGTCTGCGAGGTGCTGCAGCAAGGGGGGAACCTGGAGAGGCTGGGCCGCTTCCTCTGGTCGCTGCCGGCCTGCGACCACCTGCACAAGAACGAGAGCGTCCTCAAGGCCAAGGCGGTGGTGGCCTTCCACCGCGGCAACTTCCGCGAGCTCTACAAGATCCTGGAGAGCCACCAGTTCTCGCCCCACAACCACCCCAAGCTGCAGCAGCTCTGGCTGAAGGCGCACTACGTGGAAGCCGAGAAGCTGCGGGGCAGACCCTTGGGCGCCGTCGGCAAATACCGCGTCCGCCGAAAATTCCCTTTGCCCCGCACCATCTGGGACGGCGAGGAAACCAGCTACTGCTTCAAGGAGAAATCCCGGGGCGTGCTGCGGGAATGGTACGCCCACAACCCCTACCCGTCCCCCCGGGAGAAGCGGGAGCTGGCGGAAGCCACCGGTCTCACCACCACCCAGGTCAGCAACTGGTTCAAGAACAGAAGGCAACGGGACCGAGCGGCGGAGGCGAAGGAAAGGTACGTGCCGCCCTCCGATCCCCGCTTTTTCCATGTTCCACCGCGCGGGGGGCGTTTGGGAACCCCGGGAGCTGCTCCGGGAGCGCGGCGAGTGCCCGGAGCCGGATGGGATAGGAGCGATGAAAACACACGGTTCCCTTCTAGTCTCCTTTTTTTTTTTTTCCCCCTCTCTCTTTTTTTCCCCCTTTTTTTTTCCTTTTCTTCTTTTTTTTTTTCTTTCCTCGTAAACCGCCTTGCCTTTTCCCCTTCCGTGGACACCCGAACGGGTTTTTCACTCGACCTCACCTGCCCTGGGGGAACAACGAGCCCCCACCGTCCCCTTCCAGGCCGCTCCGCCGCCTTTGTTTGCTGCCTGCCTTCCCGAGCAAACCGGCAGCGATGCGGAGCCTCCGGGATGCCGGGCCGGGGTCGGGCAGGGCAGCTCTGGAGCTCGGAGCAGAGAAGAGATGCAGCTCCGGGATGGCGAGGGTGGGAGGCAGAGGAGACCGGGATGGGGACGCGCTGGCCGGGCCGCCCGTACCGAGGCCATCGCGGACCCCGCCGGCGACGCGATGGCCTCGGTGCGAGGCGGCAGCTCGGCCCGGAGAGGCAGAGCCACGGAGGACATCTCCTTCTCTCTGCCACCGAGCCGCCTGGAAAAACCCCGCACCCAGCTCGTCCACGGGCCGCGCTTTCATTTTTAATTAAAAAGAAAGGAAAACCGCCCCGCAAAAAAAAAAAAAAAAAAAAAATCCCTTCCTCCAGTTTTCCCTCCTCACCTAAATAACCGGGCTGTTCAGTGTATTTATTTGTAGGAGGGATAAAAGAAATAGGGGCGATCCGTTATGAAATTATTAGGATTATTTTCGCCCCTTGAGAAGCATCTGCTCCCACGCTGGAACTAAACGCGAAGGATTTACGGTGGGCATTAGCACAATGCCCATCCCCGCCGCCTCGTGCCCGCCCTAACATCCCCGTCGTGCCATTAGATATACAAATTTTTAAATTTTTTTTGCCTTTCCCCAGAGAGAACACGGAAAACAACAACGCGGCCACCAACAAACCGAACCAACTCTCGCCTCTGGATGGGAGCAAACCCCTCATGTCCAGCTCCGAGGAAGAGTTTTCTCCTCCCCAAAGCCCGGATCAGAACTCGGTCCTGCTCTTGCAGGGGAACCTCAGCCACGCCAGGAGCTCCGGCTATTCCCTGAGCGGCTTGGCCGCATCCCAGACCCCGCACAGCCTCCAGGGCCACCAGCTCCAGGACTCGCTGCTGGGACCCCTCACGTCCAGCCTGGTGGATCTGGGATCCTAAAGGCCGCCGGAGGATCGGGAGAGGAGGTTCTGCTCGGGGACAGAGGCTCTGGGCTGTACATAGAGGACAGCACCCGGTTTTACAGGGCACCCGCTGATTGTTAACGGGACTCTCGTCTCTTTTCACACAACCCCACATCGGCTCTTGCTCCAGCTCCCCCTCAGCGTCTCCCACCATCACCACGATTTTTTAATTAATTTTTTTTCCACGTAGCCAAACGCAGAGAGCGGCAATAACCCTCATCGGCCCTTCGAGTTCAAACGAGTTGGTCCCAACGGGAATTACAAAAAAAAAAAAAAAAAAAAAAAAAAAAAAAAAAAAAAAAGGAAAAAAAAAAAGAAAATAAATAAAAACCCCAACCCCTGCTGGATCCGATTCTACCCAAACAAATCCCAGCGCCGCGGGCGCGGTGGGGCAGGGTCGGCCGGCACATCCCTGCTGCTGCCTGGCCCGGTCCCCGAGGAGCTGGGACGGGGACAGAGGGAGAGAACCGCTGTGCTGAGCCCTGTGGCGGAGTGGGAGGAGGGAGGGGAAGTTACGTTTACATTTTTCATATTTAGCCTTACCAAAAAGATTTCGATGTAGTTTAAATTTAAAAAAAAATTTAAAAAAAAGAAAGAAAGAAAGAAAAAAAGAGTGGAAAAAAATATATCAAAAGCTGCAGTATTAGAGTTTTACCAAGTGCCTGTGTCTGACCGCGGCCGTGCGAGGCAGATACTGAGTGGGCTCCCGTGGACCCGCGTCCCCCACTTTTCTCCTCTTCGGTGGTGAAATGCATCGATGTGGCTAAAAATTAGGATAACAATAGTAATAATAAAAGTCGACGGCCATTTCCTCCCGAGCTGCGCCGCCAGTTCCCCGTTGCCTTCTCCCGTCTGTGCCCGCTCGCCGCCTCCCTCCTCCGGCTTGCAGAGAGCCCGCGGATGACGCTGCCTGTCTCGAGTATTTGTTACCAAAAATCGCATGTGCTTTCGGGTTTATTTTCTATTGTACCTAAACAGTCTAAATTAAACAACGCTGATGGCAGAACACCCAGGCTGCGCTTTTCTTTGCAGGGGCCAGCCCGCGCCCCTCTGCCCGCCCTCGCCCCCTCCCCACGGGCTGCAGCGGAGGTTCGGGGCTGCGGGGAAGCCGGTGGCTTAGAAAGGGAGCAAGGATGGGGACAGGGGACCCGTGTAGCCCGCTGTGCCCCGAGGGAGCCGGGCAGGAGCAGCGCCCGGCCCCGCCGCCCGCCCCGTCGGGGCCTCGCTGGTGCCGGCGTTCCCTGTTAGCGTTTTGCATCATTAAGCGCGTGTTGATTCAAGCCGTGTTTGTGTTCGGGGTCTTGGGCCGTGGAGAAATGTCACCCTCTGCAGGAGGGCCTTGCCCGGCGCGTCCCTCCCGCTCCGGAGCCCCTCGGGGGTCCCCACCCGGCCCGGGACGCTGGAATGGTTTCCCGGCTCCCTCCGGGCGGGCCCCGCCGCCCCCTCGGGGGAAACGGAGCAGATCCCGCCGGGCTTCCTGCGCCCCCGACGCTTCGTGGGGCATGGCCGGGGCAGGGGGCACCGAGGGCGGGGGGCGCAGATGCCGCGCAAACCGCGCGGGGGGCGCGCAGCCTCTTGCGCTCCTCCGCGGCCGCGGGAGCAGCGGGGGCAGGACCGGCGCTCTGGGGCGAGCATGGACCCCCCTTTCTTGCTGTGCAGCGACCCCGACCTCGGCTGCCCGGCTGGGGAAGGGGACGGAGGCGGGGACCCGCCGGGACGGTTCGTGCCCCGGTCCGGGCTCGCCCTCTTGTCCCTTCCCGGGGTCCTTCATCACCTTCCCGGGGTCTCATCCAGACCCACCGTGATCCGTCACAAAGCAGCGCAGCCGCTCCCGTCCCCCCGGGCAGAAAAGGGGAACTCCCGGGGAAACGCAGGATGGTTTTAGGGTCAGCAGCTGCGGGCTCAACGCCTCGAGGATGGATAAGCTCCAGCTCCGTTTTTTTTTCCCAAACCACGGGCTCGGTGAAGAGGAAGGATAAATATTGCCCGGGGCTCCAGCCCTGCGCGGCGGGAAAGCCAAGCAAGGACTCGCAAACCAGGAGTTATTTTCAAAGCAAACAGCTCAAAGGCGCTTCCTGCGTGTAGGCAGCGACAGGGCTGGTTGTGGAAGGCTGGGGAAGATCCCATGGGATGCTGCCCTTGCCCAAATCCCCCTTCCCAGCACACACCTGGCTCAGGCTCCCCGGCCTCAGAGCCCTACCCAGACCTGCTCTCCATTTCCCCAAAAGGGAGAGGGACGAGGCTGGCAGGAGGCAGGAGGTGGAAAAGAGGGATGGAGGGTTCTGAGGGCATCCCCCTGGAAATAACTCCCTGGCCAGCCGTCAGGTAGGAGCAGGGAGGCCCTGGAGCTGAGCCAGGCACAGGTTGCTGAGCTCTCCTCGATTAGGCTTGACCTCACAGCAAGCTTTTCACAGCAGAGCCAGCCTGGGGAGGCAGCCTGAGGCTCTTTCTCACTAAGCTCTGCTTTGTATTTCCACCGTCAGGAAGGAGTTAATTCACCCCCCACTCCCGTTCACCCCCCAGGACAGATTTCACACTGTGTCCAGGTCAGCCAAAAAAGGGGAGGAAACGAGAACAGCAGAATGATTAATTCTACCTGCTTTTCCCATGAGTGATCACCTGCTTTCGGGGTCATGAATAGCAGGTAGCTCTCTCCGTCTCCCACTCTGAGAGCCTCATTTGTTTGGTGACAGCTGAGTGACAAGACCTGAAATCCGAGCCCTCAACTTTGCCTGATGTGTGGATAAAACCCTGGATGTTC